GTGTAAATTTTATTTTTGTTCACACAATTTCAATAAACAATCTTTTCTTCCTATATTTTTAAAGGAAAAACCCTTTTCCCTCTTTTCCCTAAGTTTCTTAATGTAAACCCATTTAACTTCTTTGCACAGCTTTTTTTTATATTAATTTCTTTCTAAATACATAGAAATTTACCATCCCAATAAAATTTCAACAAATTTTGTTACAAAATTCACTTTCCTTAGGATATTTTCTAACTTTTCATATTTGGCTCTTTTTTCCATTTGATTTTAGTGCCCAAACTTCAGTCAACTCTTCTAATGATGATAAGCGTAATGGTTGACTTTGAGTCAAGCCCTCTAAAGTCATGGATTGTGGTTGGCCAAAATAAGGTCTCACATTGGGCAGTTTCACAATAATTTTCTTACACAAAATTCAAAGGTAAGCAATAATGAATTATTTTGAATTGGTTATTGTTGGCCATATGGCAACCCAAGAGGAGGGATGAATTGGGTTTTTAGAAACTTTACGTAACTTTCAGAAACAAAATAATGAACAAGTACAAGGAATTGCAAGTAACTAATTCTGTTCAAAAAAAAATTTGCAAGTAACTAATTTAAAGTATAAATATTAGAAGTTAAGGGAAGAGAAAGCTCAAACATAAGGATTTATAGTGGTTTGGTCACAATTTGTGCCTAATCCACTCCTCAATCCGCTTGCTTGAGAGTTAGTTTTGAATTCAAAATCTCTCCTTCAACTTTCGAATGTAGAGGCAACCGTTTGCAATAACTTTATCGGCGCTATCCACCTTCGACAATTTAATCCCTTATTACAATCTCTCACAAACCCAATCTTATACTACAAGGTTGGTTTTCTTTAGATCTAACCAAACTACCCAATCACTTTCCCAATAGCTTACAGGTGCTATTGAACTGTTCTATCCCCTTCACTTCCTATATCTCAAGGGTGGATTACTAGATCTAATAAGGTTTTCCCAATCCCTCTCTCACTTGTTACAATGAAAGAGAATAAGAACAATTGTAGAAAATAAGTAATTTCTTAAAGATCAAGGTGAAGGCTCAAAATCTCTTGGTTTTTCAAGTTGAATGCTCTTCTTCCGTGTGTTCTCCATACTTCCAAATCTGATTTTACATCTTGAAATTGCTCAATCAATGGTTTATGACCGTTGGAGCACAATTGGAAAGAATATAACCCAAGTATGGAAAGTTATTCAAAGTCTCCACCATAAGGGGTTGGAACCTGAGCGATTTTTTGCATTACTACTTCAAAAAATAAAATTATCGAGGGTTCCAAACCTTCTCCCAGGGGTTGGAACCTCAACTACAAAATACACCTTTTATTTTTGGTTACCCATAATAAGGAAATATATTTAATAGATAATTACACAATTAAATAGACTTCAACAAAAAAGGAAACATATTCAAAGCTTAATATTTAAAAATCAATTCAATAAATCATGTAATAAGTTCCAATTCACTAGTAAAATTATATTCTAATTCACAAATAAATTAAATAAATATTCCAATTCACATTTTATTTTAAAATCTTCGAAATCAACGATAATAGTCATGATCTTGCAAAACCACAAACTATGCTAGCTATCAATTGCATTATTCGAGGTAGGGGAAGAAGACTCATCAAGAGTTTGGCAGCCATTCCAATTTCCAAATAAATTAACTTAAATACAACATTAACATGTGAATGTGGAAAGTAGAACTAAAAATTGTGTTTATCTAGAAATAAGCTCTAGTGTTTCGCTGTTAAGTTGTTACATTACAATATTGCCGCTAACTATGTTTAAATTATGTTTAAATTAAGGGAAATAAAGAAAAGAAGAGAATAAAAAGGTTTTGATTGTTTAATAAAATGGAGGCTAGAGTAACCTCATCCGTCCTCAAGAAGAAACGTTAGCTTTGATCTTTTTGGCATATTTGACAAGATGAATTAATTACAAGAAAATAATCTTGTAATGCCTTAATCCCACATTAGAAGAAGAATACAATTGTAAGATATATAAGTATGAAAACCAACAACTATTAATAATTTGAGTTTAACGCTTTAGCTTTGATATTTAAATCATCACTAATGGATCAACTTAGGGGAAATGCGTGTCAAGTGCATTTTCCCTTAAGAAAAAAAGGGACCAATAAGATCCTGAATGTTTTGCTTAGTACACTCCTCACAACTTAGTAATTGAGGGGGTAGTATCTTTGAAGAGTCAAGTGTCATCACCTAATTAGTTCTCACAAGATTTTCAATTTATTAAGGTTTTCTAAAATCTATACGATCTAGACTTGCCACCCCTTGAATGTACTTCATTTGTTTATAAGGACATTCGAATGGCTTGAATCTTTAAGTTAAAGGTTCTCAAGTTCAAATATTGGAATGAGTGAAAAATGATTTGAAAAAAAATAGTTATCCCTTATTGTTATAACTCATCATATGTTGTACAAAACAAAACGTACTTCATTCTACCCAATCAGTCAACTCAATATTTATCCAACCATTTAAAATTCATTTGTTACTAAAAGGTTAGGAGCAAGGGGTTGTTTGGTAATTTAAAACTAATAATTAGCACTTTCATTTAATTAAATGGTTGATGATGATTATTATTATTATTAGCAATTTAAAAAGTTTTTATTCATTGAATTAGACAAAATCACTAATCATTAATATTAAACGAATATGTCAAACACTCTTTTTAGTGCAGTTGTTACGTGGATATTATGAGATAACCATCGTTTTTAATAACTTCAGTATCAAAATGATGCAATATAAAACCATTTTGGGTGAAATCGGAACTTGAAAGAACCGATGGACCATAATGCAAATCAATTTTCCAGGAAAAAAATATATTTCCAGTTCAAAGCATACCCCATTTCATTATTATAATCTTAAAGTCAAAATCATCAAAATCCCTGAAGCAAAACCTTTTGATTTTGTTGCAAAACCCTAAAACCCCCCAATTCACTACTAATTATACTGATATTTTAGGGTTTTTGTTTCATTTTTCAATCAAATGGCAAAATTGGCACCTGCAATCTCCCAACTCTCTTGCTTTTCTTCAATCAACAGGAGATTTCAGCTGCAATCGCGATCCATTTTCGGCCCAATCACTCGCTCCAAGGTAATTACAATCTACTTCTCAAAAAGCTTTAGGCTTTAATATCTTGGCTAAATATTAGTAGGTGCATTTGCAATATTAATGGAGTGATCTTTGCTTTGCTTTACATGATATTGTCAGTTTTCTGTTTTCCTAATGAATCATGGGTCCCTTTTATTCAGAAAAATGAACTTGCGTCTTTTCATTTTTTTCCCATTGAAATGGACATTTTCATGGGTTTGCTTTGATATTCGATAGTGATTAGAGGTTTTGATGGTTAAGTTATTTTTAAGTTTCATATATGCTGAAAGTTGTGTGCTTTTTATGCATTTTACCTCTGATCTGATGGATGAATCTGAAGAAAGTTAATTCCTTTGCTAATTTTGTCTAATGTTTCATTTTTCTGTTGTAATGGTTGAAACTTAAAAGGTTTGCATTGTGTAAGTTTCACTAAGCTACTAACTTCTTTATTTCTCCAGTCATTTGTTGTTATGACATTTGATGATCGTGGCTTGGATTCTACTGGTTCCCAACGTAAAAGTAATCTAAGTATTGGAGCTGAGGAATCAAAACCTTTTATAGAGGAGACGACAAAGTCACATGTGAATGTAGAGAGGCATGTTCCTGAAGAATTTGGGACGAGTGAGCCAGTTTTGGAGCAGGGTGTTGCCCAACAAAAAAGGGCAGCAAAAATCCATGATTTCTGTTTCGGCATTCCTTACGGTGAGCACTTTTTGTCATTGAATATATTCAAAGATTATTAACACCTTAGTTAACTTTCCATTAATCATTAAGGTTGTTCAAATATTTGTTGAACGTTGTTTAAATTGCCTAAATCACTCCTAAGTTGATAATTTATTTCTGCATCGACAAGAAGAGATGCATACATCTATCCCAGAGTGGAAGTGTAGCCTCTAATATTAGAGTTTTATGTAATCAAAAAGAAAAATACAAAAGAAATGGTGGCCAAAAAAAAGGAAGAACTGTTTTCTTTATCATTTGTAGTTTTGTGAAACATAATCTCATAGGAATGAATGCTTAGAACTTTAGAAGCTTATAGTTTTTTATGCTAGCTTTACCGGATTTCTCCACTGTATTAATCATGTTTACATATTTGTTTGTAGATGACTAGTATATCTTTTCCTGAACACAATCTTTTTCCCTTAAACAATTTATAGAATGACATTGTAGATTCCCTTGCAAAAACTAATGTGGCACTTTATTGCAGGTGGTATTGTTCTAAGTGGGGGGATTATTGGATTTATATTCTCGAGAAATCCTAGTGCTCTACTCTTTGGAGGTGCTTTGCTAGCCCTGAGCACCTTCAGCCTGAAGATATGGAGTCAAGGAAAATCAAGTTTTCCATTCATTCTTGGGCAAGCAGGTATCTTACATTTTCTGTTTCATGAGGAGTCCTTTCAAAGTCTGTATGCTTTACATTTCTATTTTATGGCTTGTGGTGACATTTTCTTTTCACAGCTGCTTCATCTTTGTCTTTTTTTCCTGAAACAATAATTCTGTAGGGTAAAAACATGTAATGGAATTCTCTTTTATTGATACATGGGAAGCTAGCTGATTGGCTATTGTAGAGTTTGAACCCTAATCTTGAACCAGATCAAGGTTTTGAAGTTAGTTGATACTAACTTGGCTAAGATCATGTTGGTGTTGGTGGAATGGACTTCTTTGTGTTATTGTGGTTGACATAGGATAAGCCTCATAAGAGCGTCTACCTAATTTTATTTGGACTACATATAACAAGCAAGGCAATTCTTTGGTTAGATGGATTATCAGTTGATACATTGAGTGGTCAAATTTTTTTTTTTCTTGAACTAAGATAAAATTGAGTGTCCAATGCGTTTTATAGTTGTTCCCACAGGGACATTTTTGTATGGTAGCCAATAATTTGTAGTGGCCAATGTGTAAGCGTACTAAGAGAATCTCTGATTTATGTATCATCTTGATTTTGGATCCAACCCAACTTTGTTGAAAATTTGAATGTAGCCAATGTGCATTGCAAATGGGGCTTGTATTAGGATTTTGGCTCTTTTATGCAGCAAGTCTTTGACTTAAAGCTCCTTGTGCTTGGAAGCTTGGGCTGCCAAACCCCAGATTCTCTTGGAAATTCAGGGCATGATGCAATGAGGAGTTACGTAAGGTGCAAATTGCAAATGTGGCATCATTTGCCATGTATCAAAATTTCAAATTTGTAGAAATGTAAACATACACTGAAGGGAATAGGGTTTTAATGATCTTCTATAACATAAATTGGAATTCAAAGCCAAGGAGACATATTAGAAGTAGAAATGAGTCCATGTGCCATAAATTTGCTTGAGATTCATATTTATAAAAAGAATATTTCAATATGGAAAGAAAACTTTTCTTATTGTATGAATTTACATAATTATTTTGACCTTGCAGTTCTAGCAGGAGTCTTTCTGTGGAAGAACATTGAGGCTTACTCATTGGTAATCATCACATCAAACAAATTATGTTGTTCCTTTTGTCTACCTGACCTTTTATTTCTAACTCTGAAATGGTATGTAATTGCAGACAAGGAAGATATTTCCAGCTGGGTTTTATGCTGCCATAAGGTACTTAACATGTGGACACCGCTTTTATTGATTGAGAATGTTAATAAAATCATTGGTCTCACCTTACTCATTCACTTATAATTTGTTAAATGATATAGTGCTGCAATGCTGTCTTTCTATACATATGTGGTGATCTCTGGTGGAAACCCACCTCCTAAGAAGTTGAAGCTGGCTGCCAGTGAGCAATCATGATCACAGCTCGAAGAAGTCGTCCAACTACAAGGAAGTGAGGATCCTTTGCGTTAATCCTATATCATGATTTGAACAGCTTGTTACTGTTGAATGAGGCCTAGATGCTTAGTCTAGTAAATGCATTCTGCGAGTCAAGAGAGTAATAATCATCTATGTTTTATGCAGTTTCATGTAG